TTCAACGACTCCGTTTTGTTGAGGTGTCTTTGGTGCTGATTACTCGTGGGTAATTCCTGATTGATTGCAAAAGGCATCGAACAAGTTGTTGTCGAATTTATGTCCGTGATCACTTCGAATTCGAATAATAGGTTCATTTCTTTCCTTTTAGAGTTTCAGTCCCGGTGTTTTGAAAGCTTCAAGTGTTTCGAATTTTTCCCTGAGAAAGATTACCCACGAAACACGTGAAAAATCATCAACACATACCAGTATGTATTTCTTACCTCCAAAACTCTCTATTTGAGTAGGACCAATGAGATCCATGTGGATCAGTTCTAGGCAGTGACTTGTGTTTATGGTATGTGGAGCTGGATGAAATGATTTGGTCTGTTTCCCAGCTTGGCAGGCACCACAAATGGTTGATTCAACTTTCATCTTGGGTAAACCTCGAACACCTTCTATCTTCATTAGTTTATCAAGTAGTCTGAAACTCAGACGCCCCAATTTTTAGTGTCATAGCTCAGCTTCATCTATGCTGGTCCTGCAATAGAAGATATGTTAGTTAGAATATAGCAATTATCAATTGACCTTTTTACCTTCCATAACGCATTGATTTGTTTTGTCCAGGACACTGCAGTTATTTTTGGTGAAGCACTCGTTCTAGTTTTGGTTACATAGTTGACTTATACTTATGATATTTGCGTGAAGTCCACTGACTAGCAATACTATTTCTAGTTTTGGCAGGCCAACTACATTTAGCGTGCCTATGCCAGTGACCTGACCTTTAATATCGTCACCAAAGGTAACTTTACCTTTGCTTGCATTTACGTTACTTATAAATTTGGCATTTCTTGTCATGTGACAAGAACACGTGGTGTCAAAGTACCATTTCTCTTCTCTTCCTTTCTCTCTCTCTCGTGGCTTCTCGGCGAACCGCAGCAGCACAGCGGTGGCGGTCGACTTCGGCTACGGCTGTGGCGAGGGCTTCGAACGGTGGCTAGACGGCGTCGGCAGGGGGTGGGTCGTCGACGGGTAGGGGTGGGGCTTCGGGTGTCTCACTGGTGGAAGGGAAAAAGGATGAAGGCTTTGGGAATTTGGGGGAAAATTGGGAGAAAGAAGGTTTTAATTTGGGGATTTTGGGTAAAGTGAAAAAAAATAGGTTAAATGGAATTTAGGACAAGGTTCAAGAATCACAATTAGTCCAAGTGGTTCAAGGATTGGGTTGGTAACTTGCACACTTGGGTTTGAAACTAGGTGGCTATAAATTAAAACTTCATTGGTTTTTTTAGGCTACAAAAGAAAGGATTTCTATGGTTTGCCTATTATAAATTTGAAGGGTACTTAATTAAACTTAGATGACCCAAAAGAAAATGGTCGAGTTAAAAGAGCATATACAAGGCTGTAGAATTAACACAAGCACGATCCACTCATAAATAACTAATAACTCACGAATAGGCAACAAAGGAAAGTCACACTCTCAAGGTAAAGATAGGCTTAGAAAAGGGTTACCTGCCATCTCTTCGTCAACCAACCCCTCCGACTCAGCTTGGGATTTGCCCATTACAAACACCCGACCTGAAGGCCTAGCTCCAGCTGCACATCGGCTTGAACTCCCCCCTGAAGCTCCACCGAATCCTGAAATAGGTGGTAACGCCCTTTGGTTAGCTTGTAGAGGGCATACGACAACCTTATGTCCTCTCTCCCCGCATTTGAAACATCGAAGTGCGAGACCTTGGCAATCCTTTCCCACATGCTCCTTTCCACACTTCCTGCATGCGAACGTCTTTGCTCGATCTCCAGACTCCGCTTTGATCCTTGAGGTGCGGTCTTGGCTCGGAAGTCATGTCTTGGATTCTTGAAGTTGTGGGGTCCACCACTTTCATTCCTCTTCCTTGCGCTTCAAACGATCCCCGCTACAACTGTTGTACCCGGTATAAGTCAGCAGCACTCAGGTAAGCCTCTTTCAAGGTCCTCGGCTTGCTCACGGTCAACGCCTTACGAGCCTCGTAGTTGAGCCCAGACACGAACTTCTCCACTTTCGCAAGCGGTGGGGACTAGCATCCTTGCAAAGCGAGCGAGCTCCAAGAATCGCTTCTGGTACTCCATCACAGACGATGATCCTGCAAGAGGTGTAGAAACTCCTCTTACGTAGCAGCTCGGACATGCGACGGGTAGAATCGCTCTTTCATCCGGTCCTTCAAAGCTGTCCAGTCGAAGTCGGGCTCCTCCCTCGTGCACCCACCACAGATCGGCTTCATGACTGAAGTAGAAAGATGCCAACTTGACTCTGCGCTCTTGAAGGCACCCAACAACGTAGAAGATCTTGTCGAAGGTTCGGATCCACTCCTCGAGTACGACAGGGTCCTCCTCTCCGGCGACCATAGGTGGTCTATGGCCCGAGACAAGACGTCCAACATCTCGGTGTTCGGCAGGCTGTGGTGGCGTAGCAGGATGATTGTTGTGCAGAAGAGCTTCACTCAAGGTTTGCATGGTCTACGTGAGATGTTGCAAGTTCTGAGCTAGCTGCTCGTTGGTTGGTGCCTCCGGCGTACGAGCGCGTTGACGAGGTAGTGCCATGACAAAGCTTCTACAACAACAACACAGTTACGGTAGGCACAACAACAACGCACCCTTACCTGGCGCTAACTAAAAGAACACGAAACTAAGCAGAAACAACAAGGCAAGCAGAACAAATGATAAACAATACACAGCTCACCACGCGTCCTAAAAGTCCTAAGTCCTAATCACTTAGATACTTAAGGTCACCTTAGGGTCTCAAACCACACTTAACTTCTTAAAAGTCCAGACTCTAACATCCTAGGCTCAAACCTAGGCTCTGATACCAACTGTAACACCCCCGGTTTTCACGACATTTTAAAAACTTAAATTCATAAGGCAAGGTAACTAACAGGTAACATCAAACTTAAACAACAACGGAAGACTTTAATTAAAAAGGGAAAAATGGGAAGTGCTATGCCACATCCACATCAAAGTGGATGCACAGGCTAGTCTAAACAAAACATACTATTCATATCCATACAAGCCATGGCTGACAGGCCCAAAATACTAACTAAACAGTTCAAGGGAGCTACACTAACAAACAGACAGCTAGCACGCTCTCCAAAAGCTACTCAAGACCTGTAAAGCAACATAAAGAAAGGGGACGACTCCCGGTCAGCGAACATTGCTAGTAACCCATCAATATGCGTTAAGTAGCATATATAGATAGTATAAAACAAAACCATTTTCGAAATGGAATACAGTATATATCAGTTCAAACATCATAGAGAGAAATCTCAGGTGATAGGGAAGAAAAGGAAAAGAGACAAACATTGGTAACAACCACAGAATCGATGCTACTATTTATCAAGTTGGAACAAAACTATGCTCTAGTTTTAAGAACATTAATAGTATGGGTTCAGAAAAATGAGAAAATAAATTAGGGATAAAAGAAAAGGGATTTGAGCTTTACTCAGTCTATGCATTTGGTCTGTGGTATTGGCATTACCTTGTTGAGAGAAAAGAGTTAAACACTAAGCTAGCATGATTAGTGTATGCATGAATAAGATACTGAAGCCTAGAAACAAATATAGCATCATCTAATTTAATTCCGAGATATTCCCCCTTTCCTTTCTTTCTACGTTAAACAAGCACATTTCTAGTACTTTTGTGGCTAGAATAATAAGCTAATATGGGAGAATGCTAACAAGAAAACAAATATAATAATAATAATAATAATAATAATAATAATAATAATAATAATATAATGTTTGGTTTGTAGAGGCAGGGCTGCTGAGGTTTAGTTAATGATCGTCAGGGAAGAAACATAGCATTCAAGTTGGTTGGGAAAGGATCACAAGCTAAAGATTATTACGTAATTCAGAACGTATTTTCTCTTAGCTCCTTTAACCTTCTACAACATTTTACATTAGATTAGATTCTGTGTTACAATAATATATATTCACATTACAACAGTACAAGTTTTGACATTTTATAATAATACATATATACTATATGTCATGATGTCTTGTTCAAACTACTGCTTTTAGTACCAATATTGCAGCAGGGCAACAGCAATAAGTTTTAAACTTGGTAACTGTGTTGAGATAGACATGCATTTACTTGCTTCAATTAATTAGTCTAGGTAATATTTTAAATTTAAACTTATTTAGTTCAAGCTTTAATTAGAACCTTTAAGGTATAACTTAAGAAACTAACTCATTTATCATATCTTAAATGTTGTGTGACAATATATAGGAGATATGGATCGGAGTTGGATGTATAAAAAACGCAATACACTTGGTGAAAATTATCTAGTGTGCCCTTGTTATGATTGTAGAAATCTAAAAAAGTTTCGTAGTTCTGAACAAATTAAGGATCATTTGATACGTCGTTGTTTTAAGCTAGGATATGACCGGTGGATATGGCATGGTGAAACTGTCCCTACTAGTAACAGTACAAATGAAAGAGAATGTAGAAAAAATGTAGAGAAAGATCAAAGTAATGAAGATAATGTTGGAAATGATGGAGACAATGATCGGCTTGATGAATTGATGCGTGATATGTAAGGGGATTTGAATGAAATGCCTCAAGAGTTTGAAAGTTTTTTTGAGAGTTCTGGAAAACCTTTTGTTTTCTGGATGTAATAAATTTACAAAGTTATCAGCAGTGCTTAAATTGTATACCGTAAAAGCAAAAAATAGATGAAGTACACACTGCTGGAATTCTCGCCATTTCCGACCAACATTTCCGTCCAATCATAATTTGGTCGGTAATTTATTAGCAATTCCTACTTTTCATCGCTAAAGATGATTGGACGGAAAGTTGGTCGAATTTCGTCCAACATCACGTATTAGAATGAAATTCTGTCCAACCTATAATATTGGTCGGTAAATCTGAATGACTAATAGGTAAGTCTTACAAAATGTTGGACTGAAAATTAAAATATTTCAACAGTAATGAACAATCTAAGGAGCGGGAAATACATAAATATTTGGGGATATCTCCTCCACTATTCCAAAGCTTGTTCTCTCTTTCAAGACAACACTTCTTACTCTTCTTTTTCTCTTCCAGGGCGATGGAGGGCGATAACCTGCATGAGACCACAGATCTACGAGAGCCATCTACCGGCATGAGATCATGGATCTAGAAGAACCGTTAGTGGCAAAGAGAGATCAAGTGCGAAGAAGTCATTTCTGCTATACTCAACAAATTTCAGCTCCATAGATCTACGGGAATCACCATCTGCAACCATCTACCAGCGATGACCTGCGTGAGACCATAGATCTACGAGAATCGTCAACGACAAGGGCGATGACATAAATGAGCTTTTTTTCTCGCTGGATTTCTGCTCCGCGGCTGCGGAACGCCACAATAAGAGGGTCCTCCGTCGTCTAAGTCTTGATTTTTCGGTCATTCCAGTCGTTTTTTTTTCGGATGGCAAAGCGTGGATATAAATTGCGTATCTTTTTTTTTTTTTTTTTCGATTTCTTTGGGTTTTAAGTAAATGAGCTAGCTTAAGTTTTGTATGGGTGTAGTTTAATTTTATATGATTTGTTAAAATTTTGTTTCTGCAGATTTAGTATCACATCTCATTTTTGGTCAATTTGTGTTTTTTTTCTGGATAATAATTTTTTTCTGTATCTCTTCAGGTCTAAATCTGTATGATGTGTTCTTTGCTCAGCTCATTAACTCTTCAAGGGCACAGAGTGTTGATATATACACAATTTCAGCATATGTTGGACTTGCTAGAAGATTACTGCAACTTTAGGGTACTAACACTTTCATTTGATTATCTTCTGGTAAGTTTGTGGTAGCCATTGTTTTCTATGATCTGTTTGACTTACCAGATATGGTTTGCCTCTATTATGTCTATTATTGCTTTTGATATTGGACATATTTCAATTCGTGTATCTTAAGGACATTAACAAATGTATCATATATCTAGGATGGATTGAACTATACACATGAAATTTGCATATTGCTCTCTCAGTTTAACTATCTCAATTAATTTACCTATTTGCATATGTGTAATTAAAAAAAAAAAATTTCAATCTTGACTGACGCTATGTAGGTGAATGAACAAGCCAGTGCTGAGGTATTGAAAGTTGAACAGAAGTATAATGAGATAAGAATGCATGTTTATGATAAACGAAATAAATGAAGTAATCAAATCCATTCCTGAAATTTTGGTTGACTGTTGTGAGTCCAGACCATTCTGTTTTCCTTTGAAATGAGTCTAGACCATTATGTTTTGCTTTCAAATGGTATATTGATAGGTCAACATTGAATTGAGGGATCTGATATTCTCCTCTGCTCTATTCTCTATGCAGTTTCTGAGTCACGTACCCTGCTCTATTCTCTATGCAGTTTCTGAGTCACGTACCCTGCACTGATCAAAGTCATTGAAGTAGAAGGCTATGGATGCGGCATTGATCAAAACTATTGAAGCAGTGTTAGATTTGAAGGCTTGGCTTATTTAGGTGCAATGAGAATATTTAGTATATATTTTTATGACTTTTTTTTTGTGTGTATGGTAATAGTCTATTGCTGGAAGTACTATAGACATGACCATAATTTGTGTTGTAAATAACTTTGATGTTTAAATATATTTTCAATTTGAAATTTAGTGTGTATTAATTTGTTGATGACATATAATTTATTAACAATGGGTATAAATAAAATTTTGATAATATAAAAATAATAAAAATATTCCATATGATATAGAATTTTCCTACCAACATTTGGAAGGAAAATTAGAAAATATAATATGTGAGTTTTCCATCCAACGTTCGGTCGGACGGAATTTTCGACCAATGCACGTAGTTGGACGGAAATTCTCACGTTTTAAGAATGGTGGGTTACTCACCGGAATTTCCGTCCAATTTTTGTTTGTTGGACACTATTTCCGACCAAAAACCATAGTTGGACGGAATTTCCGACACGGGTTTTCCGAACGTTCCTTTTGGTCGGTATGTTGGACGGAAACCTCATTTCCGACCAATATATCCCGTTTTATGTTGGACGGAAAACGCGAGATTTCCAGCAGCTAGTGATAAGAGTTTCACAGAGTTATTAGAGCTTTTAAAGGGCATGCTTCCTAATGAGAATGAACTTCCTTGTTCAACTTATGAGGCAAAGAAAATGTTATGTCCATTGAGTATGGAGATAGAAAGGATCCATGCATATCCAAACGACTGTATTTTGTATTGGAATCAATACAAAGACTTGCATGTCTGTCCGAAGTGTGGAGCATCGCATTGTAAACGAAAAGGGCTCGATGATGCATGTGAGTAGAAGAAAGGTCCTCCAGCGAAGTTGTTGTGGTATCTACCGGTGATTCCAAGATTCAAACGTTTTTGCAAATGCAAAGGATGCGAAGAATTTGCAATGGCATGCTAGTGGGAGAAAAGAAGATGGAAAGTTAAGACATCCTGTCGATTCTCCTCAGTGGAAGAACAATAATAAGAAGTTTTCTAATTTCGGTGCTGAAAATCGAAATCTTAGGCTTGGGCTATGCACTGATGGAATGAATCCTCATGGTAACATGAGCAGTCGCCATAGCACTTGGCCAGTTCTTTTAACAGTTTACAATCTTCCTCTGTGGTTGTGTATGAAGCGCAAGTACATCATGTTATCATTGCTAATATCTGGTCCTAAACAACCAGGAAACGACATAGATATGTACTTGGCACCACTTATTGAAGATTTAAAGATGTTGTGGAATGAAGGTGTGATAGTATTTGATGCTCATAGTCAAACCAACTTCACTTTACGAGCCATGCTGTTCTGCACAATCAATGACTTCCCAACATATGGTAACTTCTCAGGGTATACTACTAAAGGGGCTAAGGCATGCCCTGTTTGTGAAGATGAAACAATTATTTAAAAAGAAAAACATTGGGCATTATCCCAATCGTGCAATGCGCGTAAAACATATATATATATATATAGTGAAAGGTTCCCGTGCGGTGAATGCTTCCCGTGCGGATGTGCGGTGGATTAATGTGCGTGAGATTTGTACTCAATGTGCATGAGTGTTGTGCTTAATGTGCCTGAGATTTGTTGTAACACCCCAAAATTTCAGAATATTTAAAACTTATATAATAAAGGTAATCCTCATAAAATCCCGGGAACATAACATAAGAGTATGGGCTGCTATGCCACACCAGGGCTAGAGAACCCAAGTGCACAGGCAAACTAACTAAGATCCTCAATAATGTCAATACATAACTATGGCACGCAGGCCGAAGGGAAACTATCTACTCTACGCTCCACGTCTGTAGCGTGCTTCGGTGTCTGCTCATCGGTGCCTGAAAGCCAAATATATCTGTTCAGCGAGAGATGCTGGTAACCCACTCCAACGCGTTGAAATACAATATATATATATATATATATATATATATATATATATATATATATATATATATATATATATATATATATATGTATAGATACAGATATGGTAAAAACAATTTTGAAGCAGGAAGATATACTTAGGAGACTCTAGCCTTTAAAACCGGGAATAGACTCGTCAGATAGGGGTAAGCACAATACATAACAACAAGTAAAATAGCGATAACATTATAAGGAAAGCACAATTCCGGTCACTACATCAATCATCATGTATCATTACTGACTCATCATCAAGTCACATCATTCATATCACAACATCACATATCACATCATCATTGATGGCGCTACGGGACCAATCGCATGCCCCGAACATGAGGGTCAATGCATATAGCATTAACCCGGCCCCGCAACACCCTACCTCAGAACCGCGGTACGAGGGGAGTTGATCGCAACCAACCCTTTTAGAACTGTTGACGAACTCAACGTCGGATCACGATCCTACACACCGCTGATGCACCCAGTCGGTGGACCGCGATCCCCTTTACAAGGGGGGACATACGACCATACACACCGTCGATGCGCATAGTCGGTGGACCATAGCGAATCTAAGCCCGGCTTACCCCTGAGCTATACTCAGTAGGTGGGCGAAGATCCTCGGAGACTATGGCCCTACACAACGCTGTCTCATCGTTCGGTGGATCGCAGCCAGCCGTAGCCCTACACACCGCCTGATTACTCAGGTCGGTGGACTACAGCCTTCCTCGACTTATTGGCCCTACACACCGTCCTGGCGCGTTCAGGTCCGGTGGGTCATAGCACCGAGGCCCATAGTTGGACCTGTAGTCCAAGAAGTAAATCAATTTGGCCTCAGCCACTTCTGAGTCTTAACCCAGGACAATCCATTGGCCTTCAGCCACTTCCGAACCTTTAGTTCGGGATCAATCCATTCGGTCTTCAACCGACTTCCGAACCTTAGTCCGGGAAATATCCATTCGGTCTTCAACCGACTTCCGGACCTTAGTCCGGGAACCACCCAATTGGCCTATAACCAAAATGGGGGATCATGCAACACATAACACATAGGAGCACGTAATAACACATTGGGAGGGGAGAGACATATAAGTAATCTTACGTGTGATCATTCACATACTAAGAATAGTCCTAAGGGTTCATACAACTTCCACCTAGGCCAACGGGTTACCGATTCAACTAGCATGCAATTCCAAAGACTCGTTTAACCTACGCATGGTACCCGAAATATCAACTAGACTCGAGCACGGCAAACGGGGTCCGTTGGGACACCGTGGGGCATGGGGAACATCAAATGGGGAAGCCGGAGACCCGGGGTGGGGTACGGGCCAGCGGGTAGCCGGTGGGTGGGGGTCACCCGCCGGAATTCACTGTTCCGGCAGCGGGTTGCCGGCGGGCAGGCGACTGCCCGGCGGCTACCCGCTGCCCGGCGGTGATTCTGGGCAGCGGGTTCCCCTACCCCCACCTACACCCCACTGACTCATTTACCATAATTTCGTCCCGGGGACCTTTGTGGAACCCGAAACCATGCTTGGACACTTTCAAACGCAATTAACGACACCACGTAGTCAAATGACTGATCAAAAGCAAGAATCACATACGACTCATCCTATCACAACTTCTAAACATAAACAACACCCGAACATGCGAATTCCCACCCAAATATAAATCAAGAACATCACAATGCAAATTCCCAATTCATCCTAGGGCTCTAATCCCGCCCAAACCATCCAGAACATACTTTATCTTTAACATCAAGAAATATCAAGATTCGTCAAGAATCATTATATCAAAATCAAGAACTTATTTTCAACATCAAGATCATCAAGATCATTAAGAAGACATATAAATCATCTTATCAATCAACAAGATCATAACACAACTATCATAGAAGAATTCATCAAGACACGAGAATATAGAGGGAGATCATAGCTAAGAAAATAGGTTTTGTTGAGACATGGGTTACCTCTTAGCCTTAATTAATTTCCTTGGCTATGAAGGGTATTTCTTTAAGCTTTCTTCTTTCTTGATTTCTCCTAAAGGGGATTCTTGGAGCTCCTTGTGTGGTGAGAGATTATTGTGGTGTAAGATCTAGGTGCCTCCTATGACCCTATATTTATATATATTCCTAAGAGTCCCAATTGGGGTCTAAACACTATGGGCTTGCTAATTCTATTCCTTATAGAACTAATGGGTTGGTTATAGGGATGTGGGTGTAACACCCCGTGTTACGACCCCTAAAACCAATTAATCATTTAACCAATTATCCAAAAAAGAATTAAATTACAATAATTAATTAGGGAAAAGGCCCACCATGGTCCTTGGGCCCTCACCCCTAAAACCCAACCCCTAGCCCTAAAAGGAATGGAATTAGCAAGCCTATAATATTAGTTCCTAAATTAGGACTCCTAGATATATAAATAGGGGACTTAAGAGGCACCTAGAACCCCCACCACAATAATCCCTCACCACACAAGAAGTTCCAAGAATTCCACTAGGAGAAATCAAGAAAGAAGAAAGCTTCAAGAAAGACCCTTCATAGCCAAGTAATTAATTAAGGCTAAAAGGTAACCCATGTCTCAACAAAACCTATTTTCATAGCTATGATTCCCCTCTTAGGATTTCCCCATAATAATTGTGTATTGATGATTTGTGATATTATTATTGATGATCGGTGGGATGATTCCATGGGTGATCTTGATGATGAGAGGTTCTTGATAATTATGGCGTTCTTGATGATTATATGACGTTCTTGATGATTATGTGGTGTACTTGATGTTCTTAATGACTATATGATGTTCTCGATATTTATATGATATTCCTACCGAATCTTGATTTTAGAAGATGAATTGTGTTCTTGTTGATTTAAAAATAATTAGAACCCTAGGTTATATCGTGGAATTCGTATGGTATTATTCTTGGTATATTGGGTGGGAATTCGCATGATTGGGTGTTGATTATATCTAGAAAAGCATGATAGGTTATGTGCCGTACGTTTTGTTGATTTCGATCCGTTAATTGTCTACGTGTGTTATCAATTGCGTTTGAAAGTGTCTAAGCATGGTTTCGGGTTCCACAAAGATTCCCGGAGCGTTTTTGGTGAAAAAGAGTCAGTGGGGGTAGGGGACCCACCACCTACCCACGGCTAAAAGGAGCCTCGCCGGCAGCCCGCCCGCCGGGCACCCGCTGCCCGGAACAGTGCCGCCGGCGGGTAGCCGGCGGGTGACCCCTCACCCACCGGCT